TATGAACCATTATTATAAATAATTAGAATTTATTGAATAGATCAAATTAAGTAAATTGAAATTTCTTACATATGCATTTATTTTCTTTTATATTATCGAGTCATGATATAAATTGTGTGTGTATACATATATATATATATATATACATATACACACACACACAATAACTCTTCGAGAATCATAAGAGTATATTAGAGAGACTCTTTAAATGAGATGTTCTCTTTTTAAAGAATCAATCCTTAAAATCATGTTTCAAAGAATCTTTAAATTAACATTTTAATTTAAAGAGTATATCTATAATTAAATACATTCAAAATTTCAAAGTGTTTCAATTTTTAATATAAAAAAATAAGCGATCGCATAGCATTGTGCAGAAAATCATGGGACCGCTTTTAGCTCTTCTATGCAACTGCAGGCATAAGCACTTTGTGGCCGCATAGTACATTTTTGGGGCACGAATTTTCTTAATTACGTTAAAACACAACATTTTTGGTATCTTTTGTAATTTTTAGGATTCTTTTTCGTGCCAATTAGGGTTTTGCGAGTTTATTATAAATAGAATTCATTATTTTACATTGTAAAGAACATTCATTCATATTCGATAGAAAGCTCATTTTTTGAGCAAGTTTTGCTTTCAATTCCTTGTTCTTCATTGAACTAATTTCACGAACATATCAAGAATTGTTTATTGTGGTGTTCAAACAATTTGAGTAAGATTCTCAAATCTTGTGATCATGAGATCAACATATTGTAGACGATTGTATTGATTTTTTGATTCAATATTTTTGGGTCTAACTCAAAATTTTGATTTCTTGGCTTTCTTGAATTTGATTCAATCTCTTATGGATTTTGTAGTTACTATTGCTACGTGGATTCACATCATTAACTTGAACAAAAGTGTGTGTACGTGAACTTGGAGAATAAATTTATATTACAGATTAAATGAATAGTCTTGAAAACAAATAAGTATACATGAATATAAATAATTTATTTACTCCAGTAATTAAATAGCCCCCAAAAATATATAAAGTGTAAATGAACTTGAAGATATAATTTGTATCCTTATGATCTAAATATGATAAAATTGCAAGCCCTTAAAAATAAATGTTAGTTATTATATATGCACATATACAATGAAATGCATAATTAAATGCTAAATAGCTATTGAAAGACAAAAATAAGATATTATTGAAATAATTAAATTGTAATATACTTAGAATCGTCCAAAAAATGAATCTCACTTGATGTGATATTTAATATTTTACAAATTTATCAAATCTATTTTATAAAATTATTGATTAATACTCCATTTGTATTAAATTAATTGAAAAGTCTAACCTTATTGATGGTCTAAACAATACTGAGATCCAGATAAAGATGAATGATGCTGTTTAAACAACTTCAATGACATAGTGTTTTCAAAGACTGAAATGGTAGCCCTTGATTGACAGTTTTTTATTTTTCTTTTTTAACTGCCATTGAAAATGTGACATGAGTGCATATGTTTAAATCCCTATCATTAAACTTGTTCGTGCAGCAAAATTGGCTAAAGATTGCTTCCTGTTCTGGTTTTTTTATTAGTGGGAGGACAATGGTAATTTATATTATTGAGTTAAAAATGTTATTATTTCCAAACTTAGTCAAGATATATTTATGGTAAATTCTACAATATCGATAATACTACTATCTACATCCCATAAACATATGATTGATCTATTTTCACACAAATTAAGAAAATGTAATTAATATAGTTAAAAATATAAATTTTTCTTACATTTTTCCTTATACACCCCTCCAAAAAATATTTTTTTAAATAGGATTAACTTATATTCGTTGATAACAAAATACATTAAATATGAGCATATTAGAAATTCAAAAAAATTTATACTTTCAACAAGGAAAGTAACTTATAATTTGAGACGGAACAAACACATCTTTATGGGACGGGGGTAATAACTTTTTTTTACCAAATTTCATACACCACGACTTTATGTTTTTATCATTCAAACTTAGAAAGAAAGGAGTTCGATGGAAGTTCGAGTTCCTCATCTAATGCAAGAAGGTTTAAATATATGTATGGACTGGAAAACTATATATATGAGGAGATAACTATTCGTTGCTCGAATCTCTTTTCAGAGAAAACTTCAATTACAATTTTAATTTCGTTGACACTCCTTGCCTACTAAATAGAATTGTTTTTCTACTTAAATAATCTAATCATTCCAAATTATTCTTAACTTTATGAACCATTATTATAAATAATTAGAATTTATTGAATAGATCAAATTAAGTAAATTGAAATTTCTTACATATGCATTTATTTTCTTTTATATTATCGAGTCATGATATAAATTGTGTGTGTATACATATATATATATATATATACATATACACACACACACAATAACTCTTCGAGAATCATAAGAGTATATTAGAGAGACTCTTTAAATGAGATGTTCTCTTTTTAAAGAATCAATCCTTAAAATCATGTTTCAAAGAATCTTTAAATTAACATTTTAATTTAAAGAGTATATCTATAATTAAATACATTCAAAATTTCAAAGTGTTTCAATTTTTAATATAAAAAAATAATAAAATAATTTAGAGAAAATTTAGTGAAAATAAAAGATAGAGAAAAAATAATAAATATTTTTTGAGAATAGTAAAATTAATTGATAAATATAAAGAGATTGTTTGAGTATTACAAAATTTTAACTCTCTAAATTGATAGATGCTCTACAAAATATAGAATATGTTTTTTAAAAATAGAGATTCTCTTGGATACGTTCTAAATTCAAGTAAAAGATACAAAGACATAAAACAAACCTGTAATAAATAATTCATATTTTTTTAGGATTTATACATAAAATTTGATCATTTTGAAAAATGAGTTATTGAGCAAGAATGAAAAGTTTTTGACTTACGTTTAATATTATTTTATGAAAGATTGTGAGGTTGAAAATATGAGAGATAAAAATAAAATGCAGTGAAATGAAAATTAATGGGGTCAAATGATGACTAAATATTAGAGTAAAAACCTTTAAAATCTTATTTACTATACCATCCTACTGAATAAATTCAAGTAAAAGATACAAAGACATAAAACAAACCTGTAATAAATAATTCATATTTTTTTAGGATTTATACATAAAATTTGATCATTTTGAAAAATGAGTTATTGAGCAAGAATGAAAAGTTTTTGACTTACGTTTAATATTATTTTATGAAAGATTGTGAGGTTGAAAATATGAGAGATAAAAATAAAATGCAGTGAAATGAAAATTAATTGGGTCAAATGATGACTAAATATTAGAGTAAAAACCTTTAAAATCTTATTTACTATACCATCCTACTGAATTTAGCATTTTGTATCAAACACGCACTTAAAATTTTTTATGTAGAGTAGGTTTCACTGATGAAATAATTACCCCAAAAAAAAAGGGGTAAAAGGGTAAAAGGGTCGAGATTTCAAGCAAAGAGAGAGGAAGAAATGAGAAAAAATTCCCAGACCAAACAAGGCCTTAGATTCAAAGCAGGTGAATCTGCTAATTGAACGCGCAACAGCCGATTTGGTACAACCGCTCATTCACTGCAGAGCCTTAGACCCACGCGCTTCCAAACTGGAGACAAGTTGTTTGTAGTTACATTTGGTGCAATAGAAAGCAATCATTTGTACAGTGTTGGAATAAGGGAAATTTAATAAGCGCAGATAGTACCAAACCTTTCCTAATATTGCTTAATTGTTCCAAACATTTCAAATATGGCATTAATGGTCTCAAACCTTTTCAATTTTTGTGCAAATTATCCCTTTGGACGTTTCCGTCTATAAGGATGGTAAGTTTGGTCTTTGAAATGTGATTGACCTTATTGTCTTCTATTTGAAGGGACATTTTTGTTAAGGAAGTATATCCCAAGATTCAAATCTATCGTCTATCGTCGAAATCTTCATTTCCAACTATAGCCCATAACAGCAAATAATAGGATCCATTTTTTCTCATTAGAAACACAAAGATTCCAAAAATGGTGCTTCTAACAATTATGTTCCATATCTTAAAGCAGGTAATTTTTGAATTTGTTAGTCTAAGTGAACTAATATGTATATTTGACAAAAATAGCTCTTCAAATAAATAATAAGGTCAATTGCATTTCAAAGATCAAATTAATAGCCCTTATAGATGAAAATCGGCCATAATGATCATTTGTGCCAAAATTTTAAGAGTTTTGGAACCATTTGCGTCGCATTTGAAAGGTTTGAATCAATTATACAACATTAGGAATGGTTTGGGACCATTTGCACCAATTTTCCATTTAAATAATAAAAAGTCCCTTATTGTAAATTCTAACCTTTTTTTTTTTTAAAGTACAAATTCAAACTTTTTAAAAAGACGAGAAAATGGTTAGAAACCTTCTTTTTTTTTTTTTGGTTAAAAGCAAAAGCTACATATTTTACAAGTGTTCTATCATAATTGATGGTTATATTTATATATATATATTTTTTTGTAAATTGACACTCACAATCTCTCCCTTACATAAATTAAAATAGTAGGTGAAGTTTTGTAATATTTGAATCTTATTGATACACATAGGATGATAATTTGTACCAAAAATCCATTATCGCCTCCTTCACATTTGCTCATCCCCTTTAAAGGAGGGATGGGGTTATAGGATTGGGAGTTGGGACTAAAGGTAATGCAAGGGTGAAAAAGGGATTAAGAGAATACGAGAAACAACGAGTCGGTTAAAAAAGAGTTATGTAAGAAGTAATCAGAGAAGGAAAAATATGTGAGTTTTTTTTTTAGATTTTTTAATTCTTCTTTGAGTAGCCATCCATGCATTTGAAACAGTGCGACAAGCACGAGATGTGACGTGGATCAAAATGTGTATTTGAACAGAATTCCGTTATTAAGGATGTAAATAGCACAAAATTGAAAGTTTTGGACTCAAATGCATAAAATCCAACTACCTTACTTCATTTTCCTCACTACTATAGCGCGTAGTTTCCGATATCACACCTACCCCACTCCGCCCCCACTCTCTCTCTCCCCCTCTCTCCAGTTTTTTCTCAACCAGTGCCACTAAACTCTTCCGATCTCATTACACCCTAAAGTTCCCTTTTTGAATTCTAATTCCCTCTAAAAAAATCCCCATTCTAAAGGCTCACACGATCTTTTTCTCCTAGTAAGTTCTTTTTTTTTGTTTTTGTGTGTGTGTATTAAATGTAAGTAATGGGTTTGAAGTAATATTTCATATTAATGCTGATTAAGATGTGTTTGCAAGCAATATGTTTTACCTTGTTCGATTTCTACTTTGATTCATGGAAATATGAAAGCAGAAGAGTAAAATTGAGAGCTTGAAGCAGTTTTCCATTTTTTTATGGCAAGTATAATTAGTGATGTAGGATGCATAACAGTTTTGTGCTGTGGGTTTGTTTCAATTTTTCTTCTTTGATATGGGGGATGAAAATTTGTCGTGCGGCATGTGTAATTAGAATGAAATTCTACATATGGAAATGAAGTGGAAGTTTCAAATTTATTACAAGGGTTTTTGTTTTTATCTTGGAGCTAAAAAAAAAGGGGTAAAAGGGTAAAAGGGTCGAGATTTCAAGCAAAGAGAGAGGAAGAAATGAGAAAAAATTCCCAGACCAAACAAGGCCTTAGATTCAAAGCAGGTGAATCTGCTAATTGAACGCGCAACAGCCGATTTGGTACAACCGCTCATTCACTGCAGAGCCTTAGACCCACGCGCTTCCAAACTGGAGACAAGTTGTTTGTAGTTACATTTGGTGCAATAGAAAGCAATCATTTGTACAGTGTTGGAATAAGGGAAATTTAATAAGCGCAGATAGTACCAAACCTTTCCTAATATTGCTTAATTGTTCCAAACATTTCAAATATGGCATTAATGGTCTCAAACCTTTTCAATTTTTGTGCAAATTATCCCTTTGGACGTTTCCGTCTATAAGGATGGTAAGTTTGGTCTTTGAAATGTGATTGACCTTATTGTCTTCTATTTGAAGGGACATTTTTGTTAAGGAAGTATATCCCAAGATTCAAATCTATCGTCTATCGTCGAAATCTTCATTTCCAACTATAGCCCATAACAGCAAATAATAGGATCCATTTTTTCTCATTAGAAACACAAAGATTCCAAAAATGGTGCTTCTAACAATTATGTTCCATATCTTAAAGCAGGTAATTTTTGAATTTGTTAGTCTAAGTGAACTAATATGTATATTTGACAAAAATAGCTCTTCAAATAAATAATAAGGTCAATTGCATTTCAAAGATCAAATTAATAGCCCTTATAGATGAAAATCGGCCATAATGATCATTTGTCATTTTTGTTAAGGAAGTATATCCCAAGATTCAAATCTATCGTCTATCGTCGAAATCTTCATTTCCAACTATAGCCCATAACAGTAAATAATATGATCCATTTTTTCTCATTAGAAACACAAAGATTCCAAAAATGGTGCTTCTAACAATTATGTTCCATATCTTAAAGCAGGTAATTTTTGAATTTGTTAGTCTAAGTGAACTAATATGTATATTTGACAAAAATAGCTCTTCAAATAAATAATAAGGTCAATTGCATTTCAAAGATCAAATTAATAGCCCTTATAGATGAAAATCGGCCATAATGATCATTTGTGCCAAAATTTTAAGAGTTTTGGAACCATTTGCGTCGCATTTGAAAGGTTTGAATCAATTATACAACATTAGGAATGGTTTGGGACCATTTGCACCAATTTTCCATTTAAATAATAAAAAGTCCCTTATTGTAAATTCTAACCTTTTTTTTTTTTAAAGTACAAATTCAAACTTTTTAAAAAGACGAGAAAATGGTTAGAAACCTTTTTTTTTTTTTTTGGTTAAAAGCAAAAGCTACATATTTTACAAGTGTTCTATCATAATTGATGGTTATATTTATATATATTTTTTTTTTTGTAAATTGACACTCACAATCTCTCCCTTACATAAATTAAAATAGTAGGTGAAGTTTTGTAATATTTGAATCTTATTGATACACATAGGATGATAATTTGTACCAAAAATCCATTATCGCCTCCTTCACATTTGCTCATCCCCTTTAAAGGAGGGATGGGGTTATAGGATTGGGAGTTGGGACTAAAGGTAATGCAAGGGTGAAAAAGGGATTAAGAGAATACGAGAAACAACGAGTCGGTTAAAAAAGAGTTATGTAAGAAGTAATCAGAGAAGGAAAAATATGAGTATTTTTTTTTTAGATTTTTTAATTCTTCTTTGAGTAGCCATCCATGCATTTGAAACAGTGCGACAAGCACGAGATGTGACGTGGATCAAAATGTGTATTTGAACAGAATTCCGTTATTAAGGATGTAAATAGCACAAAATTGAAAGTTTTGGACTCAAATGCATAAAATCCAACTACCTGACTTCATTTTCCTCACTACTATAGCGCGTAGTTTCCGATATCACACCTACCCCACTCCGCCCCCACTCTCTCTCTCCCCCTCTCTCCAGTTTTTTCTCAACCAGTGCCACTAAACTCTTCCGATCTCATTACACCCTAAAGTTCCCTTTTTGAATTCTAATTCCCTCTAAAAAAATCCCCATTCTAAAGGCTCACACGATCTTTTTCTCCTAGTAAGTTCTTTTTTTTTTGTTTTTGTGTGTGTGTATTAAATGTAAGTAATGGGTTTGAAGTAATATTTCATATTAATGCTGATTAAGATGTGTTTGCAAGCAATATGTTTTACCTTGTTCGATTTCTACTTTGATTCATGGAAATATGAAAGCAGAAGAGTAAAATTGAGAGCTTGAAGCAGTTTTCCATTTTTTTATGGCAAGTATAATTAGTGATGTAGGATGCATAACAGTTTTGTGCTGTGGGTTTGTTTCAATTTTTCTTCTTTGATATGGGGGATGAAAATTTGTCGTGCGGCATGTGTAATTAGAATGAAATTCTACATATGGAAATGAAGTGGAAGTTTCAAATTTATTACAAGGGTTTTTGTTTTTATCTTGGAGCTTTCTTTTAATTTACTAAATAGTGCCAAAAACTGTGGAAATAAATGATTTTGGTATGGATGTTGTTATTAATATAAATCAGTTAAAGACCGGTTTTTAAATGTTTGAGATATCAAGTTAACTCAGCTGATTGTGTTTATTGTTTCAGTTTAAAGAATTATGAGTGCTCGACTGGTAGAGATTCAGCCATGTGAACTTAAGTTCATCGGTAAGTGAATGAAATGAAATCGCGCAATTACATCACTCATATGAATATAGATATGTGACGAATCCATTTGTTATGCTATTGACGTTTAATTCTGTGAATGACTCCATATTCTTTTCTTGAGCGCTATTAATACAAGAATGTAGGGGTACATAACATATTTGATGATGTGGCAATCTGTTTATTAGTTTTCGTTATTTAGGAGAATAACTTCTTAGAGATGCATTAACATAGTGGCTGCATTTGGTGGATGGAATTGGGCTTCTCAGATACAATCACAATAATTCCCATTCAATGTGGAATATAATTTTCCTTAATCTAACTTCCAATACTTCACTTCCATGCGGCCAAGCATAAAAGAATGAGCATCTATTGCACTTCGATACTTGACTTAACCTCGTTCCATTTTGTGGATAATGGATATTTGTAAAAATTGTGAGATGTATACATCTGGTTTGACTTCTATTAAGCTCAAGGGCTAAGGCCCCCACCGTTTAAGAATTATTTCATCTATATCGTTTTGGTACTCACTCAGTACTTCAATAGTGCTACCCTGTTGTAGTGTTGTTACATACTGTCCAAATCACCTAAGGTTATTCTCATATGAAAAGCAACAATTATATGATCACTAGGAGAAATGGCTTGGAAGCATTTTCCTTAAATCATGAATCCTTACTTAGTCAATTTAAAAAATAAGAATCTTGCTGATACATGTATAGTTGAGTAATCATGGTAGATACAATTCAAAATTTCAAATGGCAGACGTTATTAACTTGTGTGTTTATTTCCCAAAATCGACTTTGTTATATCTTATTACTTTCCTATCTTTGTCGCACTATGTTGTAATCAGTCACTTTTGTCACAGCTTTACATTATTTAGGCAATTTACATTGTGTTCTATGTAAAATTTGTAGCCTTTTAATTGAACAATTGCATGACTCTGATCCCCCTCTTCCCCTCTTTTAGTTGAGGCGATGAAACAAAGCTCGTGTGTTGTTGACCTTACCAATGTTACCGACCAACATGTAGCTTTCAAGGTGAAGTAACTTCCGATTATGTACTTTGAGCATGCCAATTCACTTAACTTAATATATTTGAATAGGATTTATTTTTGTCTAGTGGCATGGTTATCTTGGTTTTTAGCATTCATTTATTTTCGAGCATAAGGATTCCTATGGAAAAATGTGATGTAACTGCAATCTTCTTTATTCAAAGATAATGCTTAAATGGCTGTGAGATTTTTTTTTTTTTTTTGGCAGGTGAAGACTACATCGCCAAAGAAGTATTGTGTACGGCCTAATGTAGGCATAATCATGCCAGAGTCAACATGTCCTTTCACAGGTCTGTTATAGTTTCATGTTATGTAACACTATTAAACAACTACGCGTGATTGATGTAGGCAAAAGCTCTAAGAAGAAAACCCGGGATTACAAATGTATATTCATTTACGAATCAATGATTCAGTGGATATTTAAATAACCATCTTCAGTATTTATTAGTATTCAAAACAACCAAGAAACAAATAACACGTGAAACTTTTTAAATAGAAAAAAGCAGGAAGCAAAATCTAACCTAACTGGAACTCAAAACCCTAGACTAATTAGGACAATATTGTCCTTAATTAAAGTGCATTAAAATATAAATAAATGAGAATAGAAAATATTTAAATTATAGTTGCTGACTCCATCGTTATCCTCCGATTAGAGAAAATTTGCCCTCGAATCTTGCGTTGTAATATAATTGGATCAACCAATCTGCATTATTTCCTCATAAATCTCTAGATCTTTGAACTATTGATTTTCATACTTTCTTCCTTTAGATACATAGTAATAATCAAAAGACTTATGATTTCGTTGTCAACTAATTCAAGCATTTGCATCCTCACCACCAATAATAGCTATTTTTATTTTTTATTTTTTGCTCCCAAGAATGGAAAATCTCTTTCATGTGGGCCTTCGTTCACACTGCTAATAGGATTTCCCTGATGAGTAAACCTATACTATTGTTCCAGTGCTATTGCTAGAGTCAATACACATTTTCTTAGGCCAATTCTCTCCATGTTTGACAAATATCATCAATTTTGAATGCCTTAGTTCATCCTCCTCATAATGACTAGACAAAATTACCCTTACAGTTCTGAAAAGTCTTCCAACCTACAGTCCCCAAATAGGGGCTTTTCTTTGTCACCAAATTCATAAATAGGTTAGCAAATAGGACAAGTAACTAGCACCATTACTATTGAAGGAAGTATGAATAATTTATTTTGTCTGAACCATGCCCTAAATCTTTTCCATTTATAATCTGGATTCAAAGCCGCCACTACTAGTTCTTCTATCCCTTCAGTTGAGACAACTTTAATCTCAGGGCAATTATAAATTTTCCCAAAATAGGCGGGCAGTTACGAAGGGAGCATAAAGATATGCGTCAGACTCTGTCCATCAACATCCTTACAAATAAATAGCGTCCTTTGTAGCTCTTGTTCTCCCTAATCGATAATTGGTGGCTTTCTGTCAAGATTCAACCATGTTCACCCGGCTAGGCCCATGACCAACCCCCTCATTGTTCCACCTTGCTCAGCCGTAGCACATGCGCTATGGCCACTACCTCGTGTTTGTCACCAAATGTCATAGAGCTCAGCCGCTATGGTTATTGGTGGGCAAGCAATTCGACCACTGTTGTGCTAAAGGCTCAAGTTATTGTCAGATTTATGCTAGTTACTTTCCCATCATCAATATTGACACCATGATCTCTAACGTGTCCTCCTCAATCCATCATCAGAAATGTGGACCAACTCTGGTACTAACTTATGTAGATGGAAGCATAAATAAGAACACAAGGTTACAAACGCATAATAAAAAACAAATAATCGATTGGTAATTAAAGTGTTAAATAGAAAAATGTAGTATACGAAGTACAAACAAAATAAATAAGTCAGATTTATGCTAGTTACTTTCCCATCATCAATATTGACACCATGATCTCTAACGTGTCCTCCTCAATCCATCATCAGAAATGTGGACCAACTCTGGTACTAACTTATGTAGATGGAAGCATAAATAAGAACACAAGGTTACAAACGCATAATAAAACACAAATAATCGATTGGTAATTAAAGTGTTAAATAGAAAAATGTAGTATACGAAGTACAAACAAAATAAATAAAGATAGACAATATTTAAATCATAGTTACTGACTCCATCAGTTTCTTTCCCATGAACACTTCACTCTATCTTTTGTATCTATAGATATTTGTAAATAAAAGTATGTTTCGAAAGTGTTTATAAATGGTTTATATTATAAATAGATACATATGAGCGGTATATAGGTGGGTAGTACTTGTAGATTTCTTGAAATAAATGGATAGTAAACACTTTATAAGCACGAGCGAAACATAAGCTATGTTGTTTTCTTCGAACAAGAATATAATCAATTTTTTTGGACTGCGACTGTGGTTTGTTTTATGGTTGGAGCCTGAATTTGAAGGTGTTGACATTGTGCAACAATGCATAAAAATAGGGTATCGTTGTTTAAAAGAATTGTGGTATAGCAATGGGAAATCGTACAATATGTGATCGGACATGGGATCATGAATATAGTGATTATCTGGTGTTATGCATGTGAACTATCTATGTGTAAGAAACATGCAATGTTAATGAGTTTGCATGACATTAACATTTTTGTCTTGTCAAGGTAAATGCTCCACATTATATTAGTTCTTTCAAAGAGTTTGCTCTGAAACTAGTTAAAGTATTATGGCAAGGGAAATATCAGCAATTTTCCTGCCAACATCAAATATTCAATATTTGTTGCCAAGGACATATGTAGCCTTTTGTAAAAGGAAATGCATTTATAAATGAATTGAAAACCTATCCTTTAGGCAGAGTAGATCTGGAAGAGGTTCTTGTGGCTGATTCCAGATGGTAAGGTATAAGGATCTTTATTTACTTTTGCGAAGAAAACCAGATTGTAAACTGTTAACATAAGGATGGAAACTTGTAAACATAAGCCTAAACAGATGTTCCTTAAACAATGATTCATAGTTCATCTGCATTATATTCTATTCCTTGCACCAGAGAGCTGGAACTTTGTGGACGTCAAGCCAGATTGCAGTTTCTGCAAAGATGTCTGTGTCACATTATAAACAATTATTTGTCAATGATAATTCCAAAATTTTCCATGTTGTAAAGCACTTTCTGCAGTTCATTTTTTTCTTCAACTTGTTTATACCTTTATTATTTGTAACACGTAAGCTTGTGACTAGAGATGTGTGTGTGTGTGTGTGTGTGTTTTTTTTTTTTTTTTTTTCAAGCGGCAATTTTTGCTGCTGATAGACTTTTCTAGAGTCTGCTAATTGACATTTTCCATCTTTGGAGATTCAGTTACCATGCAAGCACAGAAATCAGCTCCTGTCAATATGCAATGCAAGGATAAATTCCTGATCCAGTGTACTGTTGTGCCATTTGACACAACCGAAGCGGAGATTCCTCCCATCGTAAGAATATTCCAATTATTTTAATTGTACACAGTTTCTTGCTCTCTTTTTTGCGCTATTGCTACAGTTGATAGAAAACAGTATGAAGATTGGCTTCAGTATTTCGTATTCTTTTTATTCTGGCAGTTTGCAAAAGATAGTAAAAATTATATTGAAGAGACGAAGCTTAGGGTTGTTTTGACTAGTCCACCTCAATCTCCAGTGTTGCTGCCAGTTAATGGAGTTTTGAAGCCTGAGCAATCGTATCACACTCTAATGCAGAAAGATAAATTGCAGTTGGGAGTCGAAAATTCCCCCCCTGAGTTGGTGAGAAATTTGAATATTCTTTACACCTTTAAATCATGGGCAATTTATGCTATGATTCAGGCGACTTATCCTTCTTTCTTCAGCTTGATGGGAACAGCGTGCTAATTATTCTCTTGAACATGTGACCTATTCTGGTTTATCACTTATATATGACGAAGTTGCATCCATTTTCTGGAAAAAGGAAAATGAAAATGAAGTGGTTATGCAATATATTTGCCTCATTACTTGAATTTTCACTTAGGTAAATTAGCATTAAATTAGTATGCTATAATTTCCAGGATAGTGGTGGTAATAATAATCACCATGAAATTTGACATCTGGATTGTAAGATTTCATTTTTCATTGATGAATTTTAAATCGAATATATTTCTTATTAGATTAAAGAATATTTTCTTAAGAGCCTTAATCGAATTACTAAATTTTTTCCTGAGAGGCAGCTGATTAAGAATGTTGAGGATGTCAAATTGGCTGGGATCAAGGAAAGTTCTACATCTCCTAAGGCTGTGGAAACTTCCAAGTTATTCCCTACTAAAGATGAGGAGTTTAGCCCTAGCAAGGAGGAATCAAGAAAAGTTGAGGATGTGGAAGTGGCAAAATCAAGACAAGTTGAGGATGTGGAAGTGGCTAAATCAAGACAGGTTGAGGATGTGGAAGTGACAAAGTCAACAGAAGTTGAGGAAACGGAAGTGACGAAAGCAAGAACAGACGAGGAAGCAGAGACAAAATCAAGACATGTTGAGGATGTGGAAGTAAAAAGGTTATCTAAAGATATTCAGGAGTTGAAAATAAAGATGAATGCCTTGGATTCAAAGCTAATTGAGGTTTGTTTCTTTATCACAAATGTTTAAATTTGGAGCTGTGGTGGCAATTAAAGTGCGACATAATTTTTTTGGAAAGTAGGCACCAAAATATATTCGATGTTGGCAAGTTAAAATATTTTTCTTGCATTGTCATCTCTTTTCTCAATGATTTCTGACTTCTGCATCTTCTGATAATACATTGTTACGAGCACTAGTAGCCATAACCTGAGCTCATCTTTTTGTGGGCAGGAGATTGCATTATTTTGATGAAAAATCTTGTTTTAGGAAAGAAATTCACATGGTAGGTTTCATAGCAACAACTGGATAGTATTGGATAGGACTGAAGAGAAAAGGAAGCTAAAAATTTTTCATTACAATGTCAAGTCTTGTCCATTTTACCAAATATGCCGTTAATGCTGTGATTTAATCCACATGATTCCTCGGATTTTTATTATTTCACATCAAAGTTTCATATGGTAAGTGCATATTAGTAGGAGACTAAATTTTGTGGTTTGAACCTCTCCTCTGAAAGGAGACCTGGGAAAAATTGCTACGCTGTTGACTGACTATTTTTTCTCACTTCGTCAATTAATGTTCATTTGTGCTTCTTTGAAAAATGCTTAGCACCGTCATCTCTTACTTTTTTTGCAGGCTGAAAATACCATCACGAAGCTAAAAGAAGAAAACAGCAGCGCCCTTCACGAGAAGGAAACATTAAAGCAAGAATTGGTTGGTGACATCCTACGCTACTTTTTATCCTATTATGTTTTAAAGATATTATTCATTGCCATCTTCCCTAAAATACTATCTATTCTTTCTCGTAATGGCTGAATGGAAAATAATGGGAGATCCCAATACTTCTCTATTTGTTCCGTGGGTTTTGTTTCCTATGTCAGTGGGGGTAATTAACCTATTCTGATAAACAAAGGAATTATCAGGTTTTCAAGGAAAATACAGAGGGTAAACTACATTTTTATAATTTTTTTCCTTGTTTACTAAGATTTTATGTTGGCATACTCGTATCAAAATCTCGTTTTGCTACCGTAATTTGTTGATATCATCCCCCACTCCCGAGTTGGCGGATAACCTTAAATTCATCGGATTGGTCTTGGTCTCCATATTTTCTGGCCTGTGTGTCTTTGATAGATTTGATTAAATGCTATCATGGCTTCGTCTTTCTTGTTGATGTTTGGTCTCCATCCATCTTTACAGGCAATGTTGAGGAGATCGAAGGGAAAGATAAAAGTTCGAGTTGGTTTCCCCCCATTGTTCGTTTGCATGGTCGCCCTGGTTTGTCTCACTATCGGGTTGATGTTACGTGCTAAGTAAAAATTTCAAGCTTGCCGCGCAAGAACTTTAATCCAGTATATGACAGATAACAGTGTTTTCAGTGAATGGTTCATTATGACATCTTTTGTACTACTAGTCAAAGTTGAACGTGTATTGTACGTTATTTTAAAATATTTTATAAGTGATGAAAAAGTTAATATTTGGTATTAATTTGTTGGAGGATTTGATGAGTTTTGGACGAATTATAGAAAATAAAATTTAGCATAGAAACTTGAGAAAAGAAAATTATACTCAAATTGTATTCTTCAAAACTCAATTTCTATGATTAAAATTTTTTATAATGATGAAATATTATAAATGAGCAATCTTTTTATATTACATTTGATACATAAAAATTAATTGTTAAAACATAAATTTAAACATCCATTAAAATTTCTAGATACATGAATATGAATAAATTTATCTATAATGACTCTAGATTCATTTAATTCAAAATTCATTGAATTTGAGTTAATGTGAATGTTAATTAATTGAGAATTAATAACACAAATTTCATGAATAACAATAATTGTTTATTGTTTATTAAATAAAAGTAAGATATTATTGAAATAATTGAATTGTAAAGAATATTTTAATATATATGATTGTTAATAGCTCTTAACGATATTTTGCAATAATGAATGTAATAAAACTTAATGCGAACTTTGAAATTTTTACCCATTTCATGTATAAGTATTGTGATTTCTAAGCTTGTCGCCATATCTGTTGTTCAAAATTCTGATGTGAAACTAGTACCGTCATCGCTAAATGGTGAATGAAAAACACGCACATTGAAATTTTATGCGAGCTTAATGAAGTTTGCTTTTCCTTCAGAGTCAAGTTTTATTAGCTTTTCACATACAATGTCTAAGTTGGAAGAATTTCCCATTATGTAGGGCGTTATAATAGAAAAATTAGTGAATTTTAACCTTAAAATAATAATAATAAATAAATAAAATCTCTGTAACCAATTTGAAAGAAAAGAAAGTATAGTGACTCACGTGAAAAGTCGAAAGTTAAACTTACAGTGGCACCATACTACATTTGAACGATTTCGTCTAAAAATATAAATCCTATTCAGTTCAGCAGAATAGATATTTTATCGAGGCCAAAGGTCCCTAATGTCCAAAAACGTCAAAAACAATTCCAGCATAGAACATCATAATCCACAGAAACCAAAAAATTATAATTGCATTCTGATTTTAGCTCAAATGTAAGGTGAAAACAATTTACAGTAAGTCATACACAAAGATATGTTATGTGCTTACAAAAATATACACCGATTTGGTGTGCCAAAACCTGGGCCAGGGAGGGGACAACCTGCCGGATTTTCCCAAAATATGAACGATTGGGTAGTTGTAGAAATCAAGAATCAGACCAATACCACTGCAATGTATAAATTTGTGATATGCTAATTTAGACACCACTATCATCCACACGAAGAAAAACACTACAAAATATTAACAAGCGAAAAGCCAAAACCTGATTGCATGGGCCACCCTCAACTAGATGCTTAGCGTTTGGACTCTTCTTGCCATTGTTGCACAGTTTGTTCGGTTGGAGAACCTGGAACAAATGGTACAAAACCCCGTCCACCAAAAACAGGACGCATGAAGCAATCATCAAATTTTCTCCAGTAATAGTGGACAGTGTGTGTAGGCTTCCTCAAGAGCATCCTTAAACTGCTTGGACGAGGCAAATTTCGATCGCCTTGATTAGCTTCTGAATTCTGACTGTCAACAATATTTTGTTCGTCCATATCAAGTTCAGGATCATGTTCATTGCCAAGAAGTGGTACGATGAAGGATTTTGGAGTAACTGGCTCTGAAGAAATCATTCTGCTTAACCGCTTTGATGAGGGAAGCAAGAGCCTCACCAAAGGTTTAGTCATCAAGCCAAACACCTGCAAGGAGTCGAAAGAATAATTGCAAATACTTATAATGAAACATGAAATTGAGTGCTCATTTCTGAAATTACACTTATAGCATGTTCGCAAACCTTAAAAAAGAGTAAAATTACTTTCTTTGCAAAGTTTACCAATAAAAAAAGTAGGTTTTAAAATTAAAATTGCCCCAAAAATGTAATTTTCACAAAAGCCAAACAAGTCTGCCAAAAGAAAAAGAGTTGCTTACATGATCGAAGTGGTGAGAAAAAAGATTCATGTAGTTAGGAACGAGTCTTAGTCTATTGTTTCTATATTTTTCCTATTAAGTGTCTAGCTCTTCCATGTGTTAGATGTCTTACCACTGTACTGAAAAGAACAACTGATATGGTACTAGTAATCATGATAGCATTTCCATATCGCTGAGTATGTCCTGATTTTGTAAACTGCATAAAATAAAAAAAATAATGATTCGGTCAGATTATTCCTGCATTATAGAATATGACTCATGTTGAGCACATTATTTATATTTTTTTTTTCCACGGATGAGTTTCTCCACAGATTGCGGCATAACCATCCTGAAGCGCACGCGCGCACAAACACAGTGTACCTGGTTATAAGCAAGAGCCATGGAAACAGCGCCTCGCATAAGACCAGCCCACCATATTGTGACCTGCAAATTACAATTGGTAAAATTATTAGATAGGCCAAGTAAATATAAAATATCGTACTTCGAAATGAGAATGTTTAAGCTCATACTTGCTGCTTAAAACCAATTTTTTCAAACGGAGACTTCCTGGTCAAGTTGGACAAGAATGATAAAGGGAAAACAAAGGCTGCTCTTCCAACCAAAATCAATCCCAGTAGAATAGAGCTCACGGATACTGATGTTTTGGGGCTGACAATTGAGAAGGAACCAAAAAAATTAAAATTAAAAATTACATCTAACCAACCTTAATTAAATCCCCATTACTATTGGTGCAGTTTGGCTAAGCTTAAAAGAGGTAAAAAGTAATTTTTGGGGAAGTTACTTGCTTTTAAAGAGGTTTTGAACTAAAAACCTGATAAAAGGGTAACTTTTAAGCTTCACCAAACATGTTCATAGTCCACCAAATATGTCGTGGTGACCGTTTTCATTTACTCAGCTAACATACCTGTCACTTATAACTCTCCATTTCTCAATGTCGAGAGCATCCATACCAACATAAAGAAATATGAATATCTCGGCAACAAATGACAATGTTGCAAAGGTGTGCCTGTAGAAGAGTTGATGATATACATTAATAGAAATTTATCATGGGGACGAGGGCAAAACATAAGCACAATAACATGCATCAAAATGTCTAGTATTGTAAGAGACCCCATACTTGGTGGTGACTCTTGAGCTCTCAGTTACATTATGCCAAGTGTAATGCGACATCACAATCCCACAAAAGAATACGGTAAGAATAGCGCTTAAATTACATAACTGCAAGATAAATCAAGTTAGAAAGTTAACAGCTAAGTTCAAAGGCATAGAACTCCACACAGAACAACAAAAAAATACAATGTTTGAAAAACTTACTTCGGCGAGCATGTATGAAAGGTAAGCCATCAGCATCGTAATAGCAACCTCACGATCGGTGGAATGCCTGGAATTGATCAGAAGTTAGTTGTGAGGAATTTAACAGTAATCACCCATTGGTATTTAACAAATGAATCAAAAACCATCAAAAGATTAACAAAGAACCACCAGCAAGGTTTCAAAATTCTCATTGTGTGGTACGGTGGTAAAAAGGGCACGTCTGGCACACAAGAACTCTGACTTTGATGGAATCTAATGTGCCCTATGAAGTTTTTCGAGCTCTTGTGGAACATAAATGTTTTAATAAAATAAATTTACAAATTTAAGTTTCAACTTAATTAAGGGCGAGAGGAAAAGTTGCCGGTATGGTGATCGAACACAGACCTTCCAAAATACAGCTTCTTTATGATGTATGCACTAAGCAGTCCAACCTGCAGTATAAGAACAAACGTTACAACTTACAAATCACGTGATTCAAAAGAATACAAAGGCTCGAATGGACACAAGCTCCAGTGGGGGTGGAAAAGGAACGAGACTTACAACAACTCCCAACACGGTGCTTGTAATAAATAAATATAAAAAATTTCCAACTAGCTGCAGAGCTGCACTTGTACTGATATGAGAAAGGTCAAAGTTCTGGATTGCGTTGAAGAGCACCACAGATGTCGCATCATTTACAACGCCTTCACCAAACACTAGACTGTATAGCAAGGGAGTCTCATCCTGATTAAGCACCTGCACCATCAGAGTTGATGCATAAGACTATATTCCTGATTCCGAAGTCAACAGTATAAAGTAACAAAATATACCTGCAAGGTGCAAACAGAGTCTGTTGCAGCAAAAATTGCTCCGATTGCTGGAAGAAAGTGAGTGTAGTGAGTAACAGAAAAAAATTATTAGCTACAATTAAGAGGGATTAAAGAGAGAGGGCGGATGTACCAAGATAATCTCCTATTGCGAGACCGAGATTCATATTTCGGAAAAAGGTAATGGCCCCTGGTACAAAATTTAGAGATAGTAATAAAAAAAAAGATCATTAGTTATATTCTAAATCATGAGACAAATGAATTACTAACAGTAAAAAAATTTCAGCAAAAGAAATCTCCTTTTCTTTTCAATTATTTCCCTTAAATGTTTCCAGTCTATCTTTAAAAATGAGCACCACTTAAGCAGAGAAAGGAGGACAAGAAGTTCCATATAAACCATATTGCTTGAAGTTGCTCACACTCTCATGCATGTTCTTCTTTTCCAGGAAAACAATTGCTCCATCAGGATATGGGAAAATAATAGTAAGATACAAATTACAGATTAGGAGCTACGTGAAGAACTAGTCTTAAAAAAAATTGCGACAATTAGGTATTAATATCCAAGTGAGAATCAGTCTCTGGTTCATGCTGTTTTATGAAAGCAATTTCACTTTTACTGCTATTTAAACTGGAGAAGGGTGCAGAATAAACTCAAGACTAGCATGTAAGAACTTCACAATCCAGACTTTTACTAACACAGACTCCACTTTTCATGGTAAAAATTTAGAAAAATGAAAGAGAACTTCCCTACTTGGTTATAAACAGTAATAAGTTATAACAGAGGCAAAAGGATTTACCCAATGATATGATGATGAAGGATATGAGAGTACCAATTGCTCCAAACAGCATTATAGTCGTGAAATTGCGAAAGAATTGTTTCTTCTTAACCTGGAACCTGATGATTCGAGCAAAGCAAACCATGTCACTTAGCATCATCATTGCACAAACAACTGCACTTTGCTAACTTGGCTAATTTACTGTCTCGATAAATTGTAATTTCTTGAATAAATTGTTTCTTGTGAAGACAATTAATACCAAACCTGATAGTCCCTTTCAATTCAAAGAAAAGATCACAAATAAAGAACGTTTTAATAAAATCATTAATACAAGTACCACTATTCTCCAAATAAAAGAATAGAATGCTTAAAATATTTTACATACCCAGCATTAAAAATGATTGGCGGAAGCAAATAAATGAAGAAAAGATCCTCGCTAAACACCAAAAGATGCGAGTTTTTTCCTCCACTTATTAATAGAATCACAACTCCAGTGCATACGCCCTGTCAATTAATGATCAATATGGATTAAAACACACATATAACGAGTAAAACACACGTCCAAATCCACGTGTATGCACGAATCAAACACGTGTGTATATATACTTACAATTACAAGCGCGGTAATGGATTCATTCATCCAACGATTCTCCTCCAATAGATGACCGATCACAATACATGCGCACAGGAGCGCAACAAATAAGTTAATGGAGACCACGGATGAATGATCTGATGTCGATAGATTGTTCATCTTTGCTAATAAAGTTCCCAAAACAAACACCATTCTTTCTTAACAAGCTCAGATTCAGCAGTTAATATCTCAATTCAATTCGATATTCAGAATTTTAATCTCTGGACTTCACACATAAAACTGAGATCAAATTTCCCAGCCAATCAACCCTGCAATTGGAACATATAGTATTACTCGATTAATAAACAAAATAAATTAAAGCTCAAACTTTTTTCCTAAATATAGAAACTAAGAATGAATGAATAAAAAAAAAAAAAAAAAAAATTCCCATGCTTCAATCATTTATACAGACACCAGATATACAAGCAAAATCACATACATATCCATGCATAAAAACAGAAGTTAAGAACTCACCAGAAAAATATTGGATAAATTCTTCAAAATTAAATTAGATCCCAAATCTGAAGCTCAAACGCAACCAGAAACTAAATTTTCTCACCACAAAGTAATCTAGCCTCCAAAATCACCCAAATTTATACAAATCAAAGTCAAATTAGTACTCAACGATAATGCAGAGAATTACTGTAGAATTCAATCAAGTAACAGATAATCTTTTACTTTTGAAAAATCACAGCACCCGCTGCTCTAACTAATTGTCCACCCTTGGAAATCACGTTTCCGAATCAAATTTTGCTTCTGAAAACGGATGTAATGAGGATTCAAGAAGGAAATAAGTACTTTTCCCAAAATTACTTTATAAAATACTTGAAATTTGAGTTTTTCTCAAAGGCAACCGAAAATTCTAGACCGAGAAAGCAATTGAGAGAGAGAGAGAGAGAGGGAGGGAAATCGACAGGTAAAATGTATGAAAGGTATATATATAAAAATACCTCCTAAGCACATGTATTTAGCCTATATTCGGAGTTTTAACTTGATTTATGTCAATGACCTCGAGCTTACAAGTTTTAAAATTTATAATTTTTTTTTTGTTGAGAAATTAAATAAGTTATTCATTTTAAATAATATTTTAGAAGCCCTCCTGGACATTGACGTAGAAAATATAAAGGATCAAGACTCAAACCGTTGCCCAGATCAAATAATCGGACTAGTTTTTTAAAAAATAAATAAATAAATAAATAGCGACATTTAATTTAAAGTAACTAAACTCGTATGCTCTTTATCTAAATAAATTAACTTCTGCTACTTAGAGAGAAAACATACAAATTAGGGATGAACACGATTCGATTTGAAAGGTTTGAGACAAATTTTCAAATCAAACCATCTAAAGCGGTTCGAAATTTTTTCAAACCAAACCAAACTACCTCTATTTCTAAACCAAACCATTTTTTTCGTTTCGGTTCGATTTAAAATCACGGTTTAACAAAAAAATTAGTATATATCAAATAAGTTAAATCATAAATATCAGTCTAAAATTTTATGTTAAAATATAAATTGTATTATTAAAAAAATTACAAATCAAAGTTATATAATTATAATCATTATAATACAATAACATGATATAAATATTTTAAACTCTTGATCAATACTAATGGCGTCTATCTGCAAGTTTAATACATGATTCATTTTCTTCATAAATATGAAAATATAGTACATAAATTCATTAATTATAGTTAAATGATATAAAATAATTAATAAAAGGAAACTATTAAAAAAATTCAAATACAAAAGTATCTAGCTACTATGACTTTTTGTGAATCATTCAAAGTTTCTGCTAAATCTAAATATTGGTGAATTACTTTAAGAGATACCGACAAACTGATAATTATTAAACAAGATAATATAACTACCAATAAAAATATAAAAATAATTACCAAAAAATAAAAGAATTTTGATAATTTGACTTGAATTTGAGAAAAATTATTAGAAGGAAATGAAATGTGCACGTTTGAATTAAAATCTAGATTTTCTTGTCTGTTCAATTGTAAGGGAGAATAGATGAATGTGGTTTAGCATCAATTGTTCAACACTTTATCCAATTTGAGGGTTTTACATTCACGGTTATGATGACTCATAAATATTTGATATGATTAATTAATTAATCGAGATGTATAATTGTCGATTTGAGTTTAATTAAATTATGTCTAATATAAATGTATATTTTTAATTGAAATGTGTTAAGTTTTAATTGGGTTAAACAAAATTTAGATTAACTTATTTTCAAAAATTTTTTGGATAAACAATTTGGCAGTTTGAAACGGTTTGTAAAAATTGAAACGTAAATCAAACCATTTCGAAGCGGTTTGGTTCGGTTCAAAATTAAAACGTTGACGAATCCACATGGAATCAAACTAACGGTTTTAGGAAAACGGTTTCGATTCGGTTTTACAGTTTCGTTGTCCAGCCCTAATACAAATCATAAATTGATTTTTGAGGAGAGCCAAACATGTCACTCCTCTCTCTCTCTCTCTCTCTCTCTCTCTCTGTCTCTCTCTCTCTCTATATATATATATATGTTTGTGTATGCATAGAGATAAGAACTGATACGTATAAAAGTACAGTTGGAGTGATGATGACCGTAGATGATACGATATTTTGATACTGACCGTAGATCTTTTGAACCGTGGGTGTGGGGTAGGAGATATTTGGAAGGAAATAGAAGGGAGACAGCTTATATCCATGATTGTGTCGGGTTATCGAATCTTTTATTTTTGGCCATTTTGTTATTAAATTTTCCACTTACCTTAGCCAAAAACTTAAATTCATACCTATCATTATAAAAATAAATCATAGGATTCCATCTCTAGTACCATGTTTGACAATGAAAAGCAAAGGCGTAACATCAACAAGTTTGAAGGTAGTTAAAAATAATTTTAATATTTTTTGATATTCTCTAAATTACATATTCATATATTTAGAGACTATGTATCAATATTCTTATAAATTAGATATTCAAACACGGGAAGACGACGATATAGTTGCATAGAGATCTGCATGAACATCTACACGCATGGCAACTTGTGATCGTGTATTATTCAAGTGGGCTAATTTTGTTTTTTTATGTGAATACGATATTTTAGAAATTCTAAGTTGGCTTTACACAAATATAAGCAAAATATATTTTCAATAGACAAATAATAATTGAGTTGACAAACTCAATTATACAAAGGATGAAGATAAAGAAGAACGAATATCAGATGAATTATTGAAAGAGCTCTGTTCGAATAATTCAAATAATTTTTTACTCGAATTGACGTGTTTGACAATAACATGACTTTGAAGTTATCATTAATATTTTGGAGTCTACCTCATCGGCCACACACGTTTATTAATATTTTTTTTTTGATATCTTATACTCTATTTCACGAGGACCACATGAATTTGTACAAGGAAGACAATTCAGATTTGAACTCTAGAAAGTTTGTTACTCTCCGGAACTTACTATTTCTGGTAATTATTTGAGGTCTTATCAAACTTTAAATTTAAGGGGAAAAAAATAAAATAAATCATGAACATAGCACCATACATTAAAATCTTTGCAAAATGAATATAATACTAATAATTTAATTTAATCTAATTTTATAATTTATCTATTTTTCACTTTCTTAGTTACAGGCACATGCTCAAAGTCGAGATTTAATAAAATCTCAAGCAGAGAGGAAAATTTACAAAATCACAATAATAACTACGACTATCAGTTATTAATGCTTTTAATATCATACATACAAATGCTCATCTACCATTTTCTCTCACCTCGGTGGGCCCCATGATTAAAAAAATACCCCTCAAAAGTCCACCCCCATCCCGAACTGTGAGAGGGATTGCACTACCAGGCCTTTTACAGGTCCGGTAGCCCAAGTCATTGTAGTGAAAATTGAAGTTCTACCTGTCATTATAGATTAAACATGTCATAAGTGAGAGAAGAAATTAAAAACGAAATAAATGTAATATAAAGGTACAGATGTATAAGCACAATTGCTTTTCGATTTCATGTGATAACTGGATAGATATCAAAATAGGACAGGCAGGACCATGTTAATTTGTTTTGTCCTGCTATTTAATGCGATTTTGGGCGCAGAAAATGCCAGCTCCTTGATAGACTTGAACTGCCTGTCATTTTGAGTCTGGCTTATCCTCTAGATTATAACATTGTGGTTGAAAATTCATAGTTTAAACCCATGTCAAATCTTGTTAATCTAAACAAGAGCATATAGGAATAATTTGTTATCGTGTACTTCTTATGGTCATGGTTGGTTAGTTCACACGTGTAGATTATAATGAAACAAATCACTTGTACATAAGTTTCTTACCTTAATTTTGAAAGT